AGCTATCAATATTCGTTATTTCTTTATCACAGATCAAGTTGAGAAAGGAAATGTTAAGATCGAATACTGTCCAACTGACGATATGATTGCGGATTTCATGACTAAGCCATTGCAAGGTGAGAAGTTTCGCAAGTTCAGGGATCTGATTCTTGGTGTTAGAATAAAGCAAAATGTGCTCTATCGTGAGTGCCTTTAGCGCTCAGAACAAACTGCTTCATTCTAACACTAACAATAGCAGCATACACTTTCGTCTTGACTGCAAAATTTTGGAACCAGACAACGCCATATAGATCTTATAGGACTTCAGCCTGTCTCAAGAATCCTTCCTTGAAATGCATCAAGTTTTTGAGTGTGTTCTTGCTTCATAGCAAAAAACATTTGATTCGCTTCCCAGAAATCCAAGAAGTCATATTCAGCATCGGCACTCTTCTTCATGAATTGTTCAATACGTTTCAAGAGTTCAATTGGGTCTTCAAGAGTAGTCGTGAAATCGGCATCACCTTGAAGCTTGATATCCATCGCTTTTGTCACAAACTTCAGCATGATGTTTGACTTGACAGTTCGCTTGTTGGTCTCAAAATACGCTGCTCTGTTCATATGGCTGGTCAGTTTTGCAGAATAGAGAATCTTGTTTTGGGCCATCTCTGTTTCTCTTGCAAGAACTTCAGTTTGAACTGGAGCATCCAACTTTGGTGCAATTGAATCAAAGTCAATTGACTTTCCATCTTGAATTGATTTCACCATGTCTTTGGAGCACTTCATTCCAGAAGCTTGGACATAGTCAATCAGTCTTTCTTTGGCATCTTTGTACAACAATCTTGCCTTTCCATTGTTTTCATCTTTTGTTGAAAATCAATGTTTCATAACCTTTGAGCTTGGATTGCTCTTGACTTTCTGAGGAGTTACACGTCCTCTTCCACCACCGGATGAAGAACGTCCCATCGTCAACAAATCACTCACTCCTTTGTAGATAAGGCAGTGCTCTTCTTGACGTAAATTTGTTTTGTTGCCTTTTGTGATTGAATGTTAGAATAATGCAAAATATGCTCTATCGTGAGTGCCTTTAGCTCTCAGAACAAACTCTCTGCAATCTAAATTTGTAATTGACTATACAACACTTTCACGACAATAGTTCTCCTGTGTTAGGTGTACTTTGAGTGAAATTGTTCCTATTTGATTAATGTTTGGCTTGAATTGATGATTCAATCACAAAAGTAAGTTCAACGATTTTCCCTTGGAAAATCCCTTGTTTACAGAACTTGATTCGACTTCCACAAGGATTCTGTGTTGAATGCAGTACTTTGGGACATCTTGTATTATTCCCTACTGCATCGTACCCAGCATCAATATCACACTTGTATAGGGTCATTCCCTTTTTGTGTGGATATAGATTGTCTGACAGACTTGCGTCTGGCATACTTGCGTCAAATCCTGACATCATGATCAAAGTTCGATCGTACGTGTCAAAAATTTTGTACTTGAATAGTTTTTTTGGGAATGCAAAACTCATATTTCTTCATATCCCAACACACTTCTTGAAGTTCAAAGGAACTGAAACTTTGCATAGCAAATGATACAATAGTGGTGTACTGTAACTCTGAAGAGTATATCTCTTCAGTAAAAGCCTTTGGCTATTTGAATAGTAACCCAACCTTCACAGAAGAGTCTTAGATGACTTTGGAAAGAGTTAGGGTTAGATGACTTTGGAAAGGCACAGAAAGTGCTTATGTAAGACCTCAGGTCTAATAAAGTCCCCAACCAAAGGAGCTTCTAGAGTCCCAATACCTTGGGCCTGTTCTATGGGCCGTTTCAGTCTTTCCGTTCCTCGAAACAAAAAAAAATCCTTGAACTGGAACGGCCGGGGACGGAGGTTGTAGTGGTCAACCTTTGGTTCTTTGAAAGGGTGAAAAAGGAATCTTAGTTGCGGGATCTTTGATTTTTGACCATCTAAAGAATAGTCTGATTCCGTTCTCCATTATTATCTACAGTGAAGCGTTCACTCCCTTTGCAAGAGTGAGTGTTGAATTAATGCAAAGCGGTTTTTGTTGGGAATTCACTTGCGCGTGTAAGAACTAATGAAGTACTGTTGGGACTAACAAAGTACTTGTGGAAAATCCAGGTTTATATGGATTAAAAGTGGTCTTCAGGCGTGACAAATAGATAGGATATACCGGTAGCTGGGTCAGAACCAGCTTGTCACATTTTTGAGGACCCGACTGGCTGTTTTAGCCAACATGGTGTGATATACTGAGTTTCAGTACCTAGCTGCAGTAGATAGACTGCAAAAGATAGGAGGTCTCGAGATAAGAGACAAGGCTGAGGTCAAGGGTTCAAATCCCTGGAGAATAGGGGCTCAAAGGAGTGAGTAAACGAACAATTGAATAAGGGCCGACAACAGACGGACAGACAGAATGTCCGATCGAATGAATCACATGCGCGATCCATCGCTCGAAGGAGTGTGTTGGGAATTCACGTGCGCGTGTAAGAACTAATGAAGTACTATTGGGACTAACAAAGTACTTGTGGAAAATCCAGGTTTATATGGATTAAAAGTGGTCTTCAGGCGTGACAAATAGATAGGATATACCGGTAGCTGGGTCAGAACCAGCTTGTCACATTTTTGAGGACCCGACTGGCTGTTTTAGCCAACATGGTGTGATATACTGAGTTTCAGTACCTAGCTGCAGTAGATAGACTGCAAAAGATAGGAGGTCTCGAGATAAGAGACAAGGCTGAGGTCAAGGGTTCAAATCCCTGGAGAATAGGGGCTCAAAGGAGTGAGTAAACGAACAATTGAATAAGGGCCGACAACAGACGGACAGACAGAATGTCCGATCGAATGAATCACATGCGCGATCCATCGCTCGAAGGAGTGTGTTGGGAATTCACGTGCGCGTGTAAGAACTAATGAAGTACTGTTGGGACTAACAAAGTACTTGTGGAAAATCCAGGTTTATATGGATTAAAAGTGGTCTTCAGGCGTGACAAATAGATAGGATATACCGGTAGCTGGGTCAGAACCAGCTTGTCACATTTTTGAGGACCCGACTGGCTGTTTTAGCCAACAGTTTTAACCAAAGTTAGATAACATACAGTATATCTGAGAATTGGACAAGAAGGGTGCGTCTCTAATTCTTCCGTTTCTGCCATCGCTTAGGTGGAATACATCAAAGCTTTTTTCTCTTGTGCGTGGTTTGATCCCAAAAGAGCCAGCCAAGCCATGGAAAGATTGTCCACGGAGCCAGTCCAGCCATGGACAAATTGTCCATGGAGCCAGCCGCGTTGTGGACAACTTGTCCATCCAATCATATTGCCTGAATTGCCAAAATTCACCTCTTTTCATACAGTTTGATTGGATGGACGGATTGTCCATGTGATTCTGATTGGATGGACAATCCATCCACAGTTCTGCTGACTTGGGTGGACAATTTGTCCATCCAATCAGAATGCTTACTAAAGCGGGTCCAAGCATGGCGGGAAATTCCCTATAGGACAGCTGATTGACTCTCCTTGGTATGATTTAAAAAAAGCACAGAAAACAGTAGTCTTTAGTTTTTAATGGATTGACCATGAAAATCGATGTTGAATGCGGAGGAAATAGTACTTTCTGAAATGCCATTACTACAAAACGTAAACCAGGATGACCCTTCAATGGGTGCAGAGATGGGCAATGGAAGAGTCTTAGCTAAATTTCAAATCTTGTGGGCTAAGTTACTAACATACCTCTGGAAATCCTTGCAAAAAGGGGGAAAATGGCTCTAACCTCATTGGCATTGCAAGAAACACCCATTAGATATTGACACATAAAGCATTCAGGGGGGGGCTTTTGTCAGGGGAGAACTTGTGCTATGCCTTGAAGGCTTGATAAATATATTCAGCTTTCTCTTGTTTTTCTTTTTTGCCGTCAAACCACTCATTCACGTCAGCTTTGGTTGGTCCAACAAATGCAATATTGTCTGCCTTGGGCATGGTTTGTTGAGCATCTTCTGTTTGTTTGCAGCGGAATGCAGCCATCCTCTTGGCATGCTTGGAATTTTTGACAACCACATGGTCCTTGATAGGAACTCTTTGTTGTTTGCCTGCAAGTATCCTTGCCATTTCTTTGACAAACATGTGGCTCTTGACTGCAGCTTGCTTACCAGCTAGAATGTCCGTAACGTGACCAACTGGACTGCCAAGTCCCGAGCAGATATATTAGAGCAATCAAAGGCCAACGGTCGTTGCCAATCTCAAGCCCAAGATCAATCATCTATCATGTACTCACAGCTGCTTCAGACCCCCCTAAATACACCCCAATATCAATATCAATCACCGTCTATCATGCCTAGCAGTAGCTACATCAATGCACTAGTACGCTCTCTCTACAATGAGAGTCAGGAGACCAACGTTGTCAAGCCAGCCTGAGATCCGAAGCCCCCATGCATTTGATTTGCAGTCAGAGCCACCAAGTTTGTTCACATATATATATAACTGAATCATTAATTAGTTTTATGCTACTTCTAGAGTATCCAACTGCCAGTGTTATACGGCTGTAGAGGCCAGGAACTATGCTGCTTTTAGTCAGATAAGTTTGAACCACGTTGAGGCATTTTTCAAGAAAAAAGTTGCTCTAGTCGATCGCATCAGGGGACAAATCGGCGCTCCCACTGTTGGTGGGGAAGTACAAACAAGATGCAAGGATTTTTCCTGGCATACAGAGGAATTTTGTGGGCACCTTTTCCAAGGAAAGAATTGAATGCAATTCTCTCAAGTCATCTGTCAATGGGCAGATTGGCGCTCCCACTCTGTTGGTGGGGATTTGGAAGGGTAGACCAAGAAAATCGGTCTGCTGTATCTTTT